TGGCCGAGCGCAGCTTCTGGAACGTGTCCGAACCTCACGCGCGTCTTCCTCATCCACCACTCATTAAGGATTTCTATCCATTTCAACCTCAACATTCTGACAATCTCAACACGTCATGACCGAGGTACGACCAAGAAGAAGGAGATCAGAAGGAGATCAGAAGTCGACAATCGACACGGCGTCGTCTTCAAGGCAGTAGCTCCCTCCACCTCTTCCGTCTCCTGTACTAACCACGTCCGTCTCTCTCTCTCTCTCTCCCCTTGACATTCTTCCATCCAGACCACAGCTGCAGACTGGAAAGCCAAAGGCAACGCCGCACTCAGTAGCGGCAACGCCCAAGAAGCTGTCGACTGCTACTCTCAAGCCATTGCCCTCGACCCGAGCGACCACGTGTTTTACTCCAATCGCTCAGCTGCCTATTTGTCCCTAGACGACGCCGCGCACGCTCTGGAAGACGCAGAGTTGTGTATCCACACCAAACCTGACTGGCCCAAGGCCTATAGTCGCAAAGGCGCGGCGCTGCACGCGCTGAGGCGCTACGACGAGGCCATTGCCGCGTACAAAGAAGGACTCAAACTTGACGAGCACAACGCTGCGTGTCTCAGCGGTCTGAACGAGGTCGAAAAGGCCCAATGTCCTGCTGTGGGAGCCAATGACCAGGCGTTTAACCCCCTGGCGAACGCGTTCGGACCTGATATGTTTGGCAAAATTGCTACGAACCCGCGTCTGTCGCCCATGCTGAGCGACCCGTCGTTTGTCCAGACGCTGCAGGAGATCCAGCGAGATCCGTCCAAGATGAGTGCACACTTTAAAGACCCGCGGGTTTTGACCGTGCTGGGCGAGCTCATGGGGCTCAATGTGAACACGGGCAGCGGGGACGAGCCTATGGACGAAGACATGCCAGCAGCCGCTGCTGCTGCTGCGACGTCGTCGATGCCAACAACTGATGGATCGGAACCGAGTCCTATGGACGAAGACTTGACGGACGAAGAAAAGACGGAGCGAGCAATGAAACGAGCTGCAGAAGAAGCCAAGCAGCGCGGCAATGCGCTGTACAAGCAGAAACAGTTTTCGGATGCCATTGCGTGCTACGAGGAAGCGATCGAGAAGGACGCGAACAACATGTCGTACTATAGCAACTTGGCTGCTGTCAAGCTGGAGATGGGCCAGTACGACGCGTGCATTGAAGACTGCAAGTACGTGGCTGAGGGATTTTGCTTACAGGCGACGGATTATTGTGTCGGTGGGAGTAGCTGCTAATGTGGAAACGTCATGCTTATTGCTGTTGATGATGATAGGAAAGCAATTGAAGTCGGGCGCGCGAACCGTGCCGACTACGCGCTGATTGCCAAGGCCTATGTGCGTATTGGCAATGCACATGTGAAGAAGGGCGAGACGGAGGAAAACTTGACTGCGGCCATCGGCTCGTACGAGAATGCTCAGATGGAGAACCGCTCCAAGGTCGTGGAGCGCACGATTAAGGCGCTGCAGATGAAGCTGCGCAAAGCCAGAGAGCTGGCTTACATTGACCTCGACAAGGCGCTTGCAGCTAAGAACGAAGGCAACGATTTTTTTAAGAATGGCGAGTTTCCACAAGCCGTGGAGCGCTACACGGAGGCTATCAAGCGCGATCCTTCATGTGCTGTGTACTATGCCAACCGCGCGGCGGCGTATACGAAGCTTACATCGTTTAACGAGGCGAAGAAGGATTGCGAGAAAGCTATCGAGCTCGACCCCAAGTACGTCAAGGCATACTCGCGCATGGGTGCGATTCAGTGCTTTATGAAGGAGTTCCACAAGGCCCGCGAGAGCTACGAGAAGGGCTTATCACTGGACCCGAATCATCAGGAGTGTATTGACGGCATGCGAACGGTTATCAACAAGATTCAAAGTGGTGAGACGGACGAAGAGCGTGCGCGTCATGGTATGGCAGACCCGGAGATACATGCGATTTTGCGGGACCCTGTGATGCAGAACGTGCTGTCTGATTTCCAGTCGGACCCTGTTGCTGCACAGCGTCACATGCAGAATCCGGGCATCATGGCCAAGATTGAGAAGTTGATTGCTGCAGGTGTGGTACAGACGAAGTGAGCCTTGCACGTAGGCTCTTGTGTCGGTGTCTAGCCGTATAAGACGTTTCCGGAAGACGTTGTTGTTTGGAATCGGTGATGCGTATCGCACTTCAGTGCATTTAAAGTGAGCTTGTGCAGCTTTTTGTCGAATCGACGTGGTGGCATGTGACGCTCATCACTCTGGTACAGTTTGACGCCGACTAATCCGATGACGATCCGTACTCGGAACCGGTGGACACTTGATTCAGGCCGCATGTCTTATGAACACTGAGATCTTCACGCCTTACTCGAAACAGTTTCTCAAAGGTGGACGACAAGCGACTATAGTAGCTGTCGGGCCTATTGCTAGCGCTAACGATGAAGCAGCTTCATGTTTCTTGTCCTGACGCCTGTGAAATTTTAGGGTCCGCTATCTACGCAAAAGCAATACGATCGTATGTGATGCCGGTCTAAGTTCGCACCACGACGTAGGTTACGATGATATTCAGTATGACACAACAGAGACCACTTCATTACGATTTAGCAAAGCTGAAAGTGGGTGCTCTCAACTAATGCTCCAACCCGGGGCATTGGTCCGGGCCAGACCTCGACCGATGCGTGACCCGGACCACCCCAGGTCGACCCAGTAAAACCTGGTCCGGGTCAGAGCCAAAAGTAGAATATTTACAGAAATGAACGAAAATATAGAGCTGCCAAAACCATGCCGGGTGAAGTAAAACAGAGCTTTTGTGAAGAGTTGCAGTCCGCGGCGCGAGCATCAATGCATCATGCAGGTATTGATTGAGTTCGCAGCAATGTTAAGAAGCGTCCCACCTTTTCATCTGCTTCATCTCGTGTGTAGCTTCTATCATTGGCTCAGGATGAAAAGATACGTGGGTAGCACGATTTTGCTCGTCGGGTTCGACGTCATTCAATTCGTTTATGTTCAACTTCTCCATTGTGGTTTTCATTACGATCGTAGATGGCTCTCTTTCTGCCTTTCCTTGTGGATAGTACTATCAATGTCTACCCTGGAAGTCGGAGTGTTGTTTCGGTGGCAAGTCTGAATGAAACTCCGAGTCGCATTGACTTCGTCAAGTTCAAGATGTGATGTACGACGGCTACCGTTCCACGGACCCGTCGAGCGAAAGGTTTTGCCCTCATTTCGTCATCATAGCCGCAGCATGAACATCTCTATCAGAATTCTTTACTGTGTTCATAGACCACTTTTCGTTGTTCAAAAGAAAGACGAACTCATAGGTACAGCACATTATTTCTCTTGACCTCACTTACACCGATGTTTCCGCAGACGACCGAGAGCGATGTTCGACTCCCTGAGCACAGCGCATATACAACTCTGACACAAGGTGCATTAATTACTTCGCCGACCTTTTCACGACAATCGCGTACACAGACGTGGCCAGTTCCTTTGCATTCTGGAGCATAGCACAACTTTTTGCTTGAAGGCGGAGGGTAGCGGAAGAACATGTAGATCACTCATTTCGGTCTTCCAAAAGAATGGGTTTCCACGGTACAAACGGCAGGTGGAATGAGGTCAGCACAGTGTTCTTTTTAAAGGCGGTAATGTGATTGTTGTGGGAAGCGTGTTGTAGCGAGATACCATGTTTCGTTACGCTACCCCCTTGTTTCCTAGACGAAGCACTTGTTCTCGATATCCTCGAAATCTTTGTCACTGAAATTCCCTGGATTTAACTACATTGTCCCCATTTAATTTCTCATCGGGGTTCGCAATAGCGACTGTAATGAGAATCCGACTCTCATCAACCATTTGTCTCACTGGCTGACCCATGTCATCACGATTCACTCTTCGACGTTATTCGTATCTTGAGGTCGCTCCACCAATACAAAGCATCAACATCAACCCGTCATGACTATGACCCTTGCCACCCAAGCTACCATCTTGCACGTTCTTAGGCCATGACATTCTCGATCAGGGGGTAATGTATGCGATTGTCTGCCGGCTGTTAGCCCCACAGGAGGCGGTAATTCACCAGAAAGCTGCAAAGAAAGAATAGGTATCCAGAAAAATCACAAACTGTGATCTTGCTGGTGGCTGACCGGACACGTTCTGCTCTTCTCAAGAGTATGATTGGTGTGCGATCGAATGCTTCTTGCAGCAGGCTTGAGCTAGTAGTTTGACGCATTAGAAAAAAAAAGCTACGATTTGCCCAAAAACAGAAGCTCTGAGATGGACTTGTCTTGCGGAGATGAAGTCGCCCCCTGACCATGAAGAGCAGCGAACTGCTTTGTACCGTCGACGTTGTTAATATGACACCATACATGTTGTGCCTGCGTTCTTGAAAGCTTGCCCTGCCCACATCTCTACGGCATAAAATGCTTTGCCTACTTCTTCACATTTCTTCCGAGTAAACGTTGTTGACTAGGTAGGGTACTAGCCACTGGTTGCTGATTAGTGTGCCTCTGTCGTCCGAAATGCGTCAATGTGGTACTGCGCGATGTAACAGGTGAAAGCGGTTGCAGCATACCAGTCCAATGGTCGAGTTTTTGTACTTTAGACACCTCGAAGCCCAACACGGCACTATCACTCTTAATGTAGAGAAGTCGATTGTAATTGTCCTCCGCGGAAGACACGGAACGACCGTATGTTACTGGAATTACAACAAAAGACGCAGCAGGCGGCAGAGAAACGTTTGAGTAGCAGAGCATGTTGGAATGTGTCCATGCTTGCGCTGGTACTAGCTGCTGATATGATTCGTAGTTTTATGCCATCAATTAGTCAACCAAGTCAGCTTCTCTCTGTCCTGTGCACATCACTGTTTAACATCACCGATTGTCTCTGCCACGTCATGGAGACACGTTCACCCTCAGCTATCAACAACGTGAGCTCACGTGTAATGCAAAGAAGCAGAACGTGACCCGTGCCAATTTTCAGCTCGCGCTCTTGAACTCTCGACATCAACTGATCGGCTACTTCATCATGTACGGCTGCACCGGTACAACAGGACCCAAAACCTCTTTCCACGCTGCGTTCGCATCCAGGCGGCCCAGAAAGATGCTAGGTCCAATCTGTTTACTGATTTGTGCGACACAATCACGGGCAGCGAACGTTGCGAGACGGTTCGTGCCCTGGAGCGTAAAGACCAGAGGGTCGAAGAATAGCTCGAGGTATCGCTTGAACACCTTCTTGCCCAACGTCTCGCACATAACAGGCAGCTGTTTCCAAATCGTTTCCTGCAGGACAGCTGTTTGAGGAAAATGACGAAGAATCGCAATGTCCGCGACTTGCGGCAGATATTTCACAGCAACGTCGGGAGCCACACTGCAAAGCTCCCGCACCATGTAAATCGCACCGTCAGTGTACTCCCACGGTTCCTTCTCACGGTGTTCGTGGCGTTCGAACAGTTTAGGCTCTAGTGAGCAGCAAGAGAAAGCCTGCTTGCTCAAGTGCTTCTTTTCCGACCGCATCAATTCATCGTACTCTAGCTGTGTCATGGCCGGCTGCTTCTCCGCCAGCGGCAAGTACTCTTGAGTGACATCGACCACGCGGTCAAGTGCTTCTTTGCCATATGCACGGATCACATTACCAAGAGCAATAGCAGCGTCTTCGCGCACGGACCAAACGTAATCTGAAAGATGGTCAATCCACAAGCGGTATAACTCCTCGAGGAACGGACGGCACTCCTCAGGAAAACCAAGCACCAGCTGTGCTGAAGCCAGGCACGCTGCGTCACGCACTAAATTCGAAACATCGTAGAAGCAAATGAGGAGAGCCTGCATAAGACGGCCAACGTGTGGGCGAATCGCTGTCGGATCAACTTTCATCCCGAGTTCGGCAATGCACTGGCACGCCGATTCGCGGACACAGTGGCTCGTCATCTCCACGTAATAGTCCACAATCTCGTTGGCATACGTGGCGACTAACTCGCGCCCATGGGTACCCACAATCATTGTCCACGACTCTTGTGAGTACTTTTGCACGCGCTCGGCAATGTAATAGCGATTCAGACACAGTCTCGGGAGCAAGATAGGCAAATACGCCTTCCTTCCCTGATCCTGCAACTTCAGCAAAAACATGCGTGCTGCGATTGACGCAGCGTAGCGCACTTGGCACCAATTGTCCTCCAGGCCGCGCTTGATGCACTTGTTCAAGATGTCGCTCACAGTCGGACGATGAGCTTCTAGGAACCCCACAGGAGCAATATCCGCGAGTACTGTGACCGTGTCAAGCCCCACGACTCGCACGTGGCGATTTATATGAAAACAGCTCTTGGTTGCCACAAGAGTCACGAGCGACGGCGTCAAATAGACAAACTCGTGCCCCTCGTCTCCGACTTGTGTCTTGTCTTTTTCCAGGAACGCTTGGCCACTTGCTTTGATAATGTACTTGAGTGCACACAACGAACTCTCCAGTGCTTTCCAGCCGCTCACGTCGTCCAGTCGATAAGGCGTCGATGGCGTCCGTGGCGTCGTCTCTTGACCCGAGGGAGATAGCGGCGGTGTCGTCATGCCATTCGTACTGATGTTATCATCCATTTCGTCGAATCCAGTGTCTTCAAACTCAGGTGAGCGACTGAGATTTGCCTCGATCGAGTCCACGAGTTGCGGCAAAAACGTGTGCGAGACCCACGCGAGGTCCCACTTGGCTAAAACACCGAGCAAAGTGGCAATTGCCATGCGAACTCGCGGCTCATAGTACTCCAAGTATTGATGCACCGCGTGCTTGATTGTTTGCGTCACGAAAGTCTCCGATAAAGTCGTGGACACAACGTGCGGAGTCTCTAATTTTAGACATTGACCGAAAAAAACCTCGTCGACAGGTTTATCCGGATTCGGACAAATGTCGACGGACCGACCCAAAATGTCCCGCACGACGACAAAAAACACAGCAAGCGGTTCCCAGCGCTCGCGACCATACAAAAGTAGAGTCTGTAGTTCCTGCTGCAGTCCCTCACGGCGCGTTGCTTCGTCAGTGCACACGGAGACTGGATCTGAAGGAAGTAGAATGTGCAAAATAGCTTGCGCCGTGTCCACAGCGCTTTGAGGGACTTTTGGCCGGTTCTTGAGTGTGCGCAAGGCGCCCGCAGCACTAGACAGCTCCATTTCGCTCGAAATGGGACTTTTGACGGACGAATTCCACGACACGAAAAAAGTGGTTTATTCTGTTTCGTTTCTATTTCTAAACGGCGACAACCGATACTTTGGTCGATGTCGTCTCGTTATCGACGCTCGGTCGTGTACCTGATATTAAAAGAGAGAATCCCACGCCTAACGTAACGACATTTGTCAGACGCCACAGTTAAGTCGGATCTCAGCCTTCATCTTGAAATGGGCGTCGATATGGGCAAAGGGAGTTGCTATGCGGCCGGAGTCCTAGTGGGAATTGGCTGGTGGATCCTAGCGGACGGTGCGGCTTCGGCGGCCTCTCGCGACTCGCACATCTCTTTCGACATTGTGAAGTACCTGCCAGGGACCGTCGCCACGCTCGCCTTCTTCCTGTGCGTCGTCGCTGCTCCTCGATCTCAGGACTGTTACAAACGGCACGTTTGGCTTGCAGTGCGGCACTCACAGCGTCGTTTGCGGTCGAATTGATTTAGGACGAACACGGTCAACTGGGACATGCTGTCGGAAGACACGCGCTTTACTTATGGCTCGGAAGTAGCCACTCGAGCGCGGTGTGTGGAGTCGATTCATCAGTTGTAGTACTGCTGTCAATCTTTCTTACGATCTGTACTATACTCTGCTGCTGCTGCTTTATCATAGATGCTTCGTCGTGTCCTGCATGGCTCTGTCTGTTGCTTCGCTGGTGGCTTCGGTGGTGGTGTTTACGCACACGTATGTCAACAACAAGTACAATGAGTCGGCGTGGCCAGGAGCTGCGATCGTGTTCCAGAACGGATTCATCCTTTTGGGTACTTTTGTCATGCGAGTTGGTACCATCGCCGCAGCATCGACGTATTGAAGTTGCGGATCCTGATATCGACAGTGCTACGCCATGTGGACCTTTACTGTGGGCAGCCTCATTGGTCGTGTATGGGATGGAAGGGAAGTGCGGGGTTTGAATGGTACTTCTGTTCATATAGTAATGCAATTGCCGTTGTCAACGTGGCATGATGTCCCTACTACATCGGTCTGCAGGTTTGAGATATTGTGTAGCAAAGTACACTTACTTCTGCTTACGCGTCTGAGCGTCGGTGGAAAACTCGGTACGTTTGATACAGGGCGCAGGAGAGGAATCAAGCTACGTCTTCAGGACGGTGTTAACTGATTGCTCTTGCGATTAATTGTGCGAGGATACTCTTTACCAGTATGCGTCTCACACAGTCGTGTGTTCTTACAGTCACTTTGCGTACCCGAGCATTGCAGAGCGATGGAGACGAAGGGTTAGTGGTACATATCACCAGCTTGCACAAATTGTATGTTACGACATTGACGCTGATGTGGCAACCTGTAACAGTGACGCTACCGAAGGTCGACGTCCACACTGGCAAATCTTAGTAGGGCCGAACTCCAATAGAAAGGAGCAATTGGGAAGGGGAGATGTCGGTGTGAAATCCTACGCTGCTGGCCGTTCTCGTCGTGGAAATGTTTCAACTTGCCTTCGAACACAGGTCGTAGAGCAGTCATCACTGCCTCGTTACCAGCTTTGGTACTCAAGGCCAGTAACTTGCAGCACGGTGGTCGAGGAGTGACAGGTCATGAAGAGTGTAATAAGTTGATCGAACTCGCATCCCTTCAGTGCACGCACTTGATACATGACCGCACATGTTTGATGCATCGACGCAAATTGACAGACCAGTCAACTCTTGCATCGACGTTCATCAGCTGCAGCAGTGACTTGCTGATGTGATGAAGGAGTCGAAGTCCAATTCCTGCTTTACGGCGTCGCCTTGACGCTCATGCCGTGCCCGTCTCTGTCGAACAACGGACATCTGACTTTTGATGGCAAACTTATAGCCGCGTGGACAAACAGTAGCGTGATGAAATGTGCCAACCGACGAGACGTGCCCTGGATGTGCTACGAGACCCCTCTCCACTCCCGTCGACCTAGTCGGTATCGTCTTCGTTTAGTGTCATTGGACCTGGCGAAGAGCTTAACAAAGAATGACCAAATTGAAAACTGAGGTCCGCACAGCGAAGTGCTGACTTGTTGGATCTCATCTGCACGCCGAACATGTTGCAAATGCAGAAGACGTGACAGGCAAAGCACTACAATTTTATGTTGCCCCTCCCAGTCGGCCTATCCACATCGCGTTCGAATTCATCATACACAGCAGTCCGAGTCAAAAGTGCAAGCCGAAGTCTTAAGAGCTGTGACGGGGTGAGCCTGTTACATGTAATTAGCCCTCGATACTTGTTACTTTGAATATTATCGTAAAGGTTGATAATGCTCGTGAATATTACCATAAGGAGTAACATTTCGAAACACTCACCGATTGGCTGATATGGGCCATCATATCAGCCAGCTCTAGCGGTCCAATCAACGATGGACGCGCGCAATGAGTGGTGAGCAGATCGTTACAATACTTGTTTGTATTTAGACATACTTAAATGCATTCAGAAAAGGGTTTGATGTAAGAATTAACTATACTAGACTAAGTTTCACTTTTAACTGTACTAAGTACTCTTACTACATCTACCAATCTACCTCTGCACGTACGTGTACGTCAGGTAGTCGGACGCAAACACCTTTACACTGTAAGAAGCAACGTGTTTATTCAGTTGGCTGAATAAGGTGTGCCTTGTTACACCTGGTAGCACTTTGTAGTCCGTTCAACGACCGCAAATCCTACATCCAACATGAACGTGTTGGATGATGATAGTGACAGCTTTCACGCATGGCGTGAAAGATACTCCTATTTGAGCGACACCTAATGGTTTGCAATCAAACGAATGGGTTCGACCGTGGGCGAACATGCTGTCTCTGTCATGCTGTCCGCACTGGACAGAGATGGACAGCAAGCCGCCGTCGCCAAGTTCAAACAACATGAACTTGACGAGTCACGGGAGAATTAGGCTTGCTTCACCAACAAGGTTCTCAACAGGCAGAGCTGTTAAGAGAACAGAGTGCTCAACAGTTCGAGCTGTTGAGACAACAGCAGGCACATGCTGCTGTTCCCGGGGCGTCTCCGGTCCGAAAATTTGAAGATAGACATCTCAAAGTACAAAGGAGTCGAGGAAGACTCCCTGCTGAGATGAATTGTCGAATTGAACAGCACCATAAGGACTTGTCACATCATCGATGAGCAAATGCAATTCGCATTTGCTCAGTTTAACCTGGCTGGACGTGTCAAAACCTGGGCATTAGGGCTCAAGTTGCACGACCCACATGTGTTTGGGTTGTTAAAGGTCTTCAAGACTCGGCTTAGACAAACGTTTGGACCGCCAAAGGCTAGATCAGAGCTCCTGAAACTCAAGCTGGGTAAGCTTGATGTGCGCCACTTACCTTTAACACAAACGAATCCTTGCGAGTTGTATCACGGCCAACCTCGTTCCTAAACACACATTGATCACTGTGTTTATGCAGGGTCTTGCGGATGGTCATGTCAAGCCTCATCTGCTCCACTTGGAACTGGATACACTAGAAGAAGCGATATCAATTGCGAAACAGGAAGCCTTTTGCTTGAGACAGGCTCATGTTAGTCCGGGTTCATATCGTCTCCTAAGACGACAAGAAGTCGGAGGTCCAGAACCTATGGACCTCTGTTATGTCAAAAGCGAGAGACCTCGCTCTTCAGACAACAAGCGATTGCAGAAGTGCAATCGCTGTCAGAAGCTGGGAAAATACGCTTACGAGTGTAGCGCTTACGCTCAGTGTCTTGAACACTAAGCGAACGGTTCGACCATTTTCCAATAAGGGCAACGAACGCGGGTCCGAAGTTGTTGCAAAATCTCAACATCGTAGTGGACCGTCAAAAAACGGTCAGTATCAGTACAAAGGAGTGCCCTGATGATCCAGCAACATCAAGAGAAACTAAAAACCTCTTGATGAAAGTTTTCCAGACTTACAATCGATGTGTGCCTCTGCACTTAGTGATGAAAAGCACCTTATCACCTTGAACTAAGAGGTGACAAAAAATTGTCACTTCGTAACCTGGTATACTGTGGGGCTTTGAACAACTTTGTTCGTCGCCAATCGCTAGGATCATCGTAGGCTCAAATTTGTTGAGCGCGATATCCCTTGACGAGGTGAAGGTGCGCTTAGCATCAGACGCATCGATAGCATTGATGGAACGTTTAGTGAGACCTCACTACACGCTAGAAGCTTTGCAGTTCGATGATGATTTCATCTTACTTGATTTGGATGACACGTTTGATTTCATCCTAGGTTTACCAAGTTCGAACCAAGGGTCAGATGGCCATCTGATGAGCGTCATCGTGCGTCTACAATCGTGCGGATGTACGGGGAGTGAGTGCGATGGTCTCATTTGCGGTAAGGTTGTTATTACGACTGCACAAGGCCTCAGTGTGGCTAATTGCCACACTGTGGAGCTAGATTTAGGCGTCTGCGTTGAGACACAGGTCGCGTCTAAGGTCCACCACTCGAACATGTCGAGTGAATCAAGACATGGGTTTACGCCTAGCACGCTACATCCAAGAAAGAACAAACCAGTTGCCCACACAGGACAACATGACGATCCTAGATTGGCTGGAGAGTCGATCGTAGAGGACTTAGCTGTGGCAGAGCAACCACATCTGGAAGACGTCAAGGGAATAATTCCCACGTACTTGAGGATGAAACTCCTCAAGCAGTTATTGGTGAAGCGACGAGACCTCATCAACCTGAGGGAATAAGTCCTCTACATGTTGTAGAAATAGGTTCCAAGAAAGAAATTGATATATTGAATGTCTTGGTTGGTGACGGGTCAAGTGTAGGCGCTTATACACTTCATCGTATCGCGCCTCCGAAGATGACTATGGAGATCACTCAGCTGCCAACGCTAGAACCGAAACGGTTCTTGTGTGATCTGCGCAGTTGAAAGGTCCGGAAGATCTGTATACTCGTCACAGAGGAAAGTTATGTGACCGATATTTGGACGGCGACAGTATTTGCTGAAAACGAACGGGTTCTCAGCAGCTCATCAATGGACGAAAGTGTCTCGATGAGAAGACTCGGATTGAGCGATACACATCTCAATCTTGGAATTCGCTTCAGGCAAATCTTTTATACAAGGATTTGATCGAATCCGAGGACGTTTTCCCTAAATCCGTACCATGCGAGTTGCCTAAGGATAAAGGCACTCGATATGAAATGAGCTCAAACCGGGCTCGAAGTACTACTTCATGAAGCAGTGGCCACTCCCTCGTTATCAAGTACTAGCGATCGAGAAGTTCTTTTCCGATCGTTTTGCAGCGAGCCATGTGAGGGAATCAACTTTCCCTAACATATCTTCGTCAGTCTGTGTGCGAAAGTCCACCGGAGGATGGCGGATAGTGCACGCATTTGACAAGTTGAATGCTGCAACGGTACCAACTCAGACACCGATGACGAGGAAGAAAGTAATCATTGATTGTATGTCAAAGAGTACCGTGTTCTCGTTCATGGATCTGATGGACGGCTTCTATTAGATCTTAATGCGTGAATAGGATATCTCTTTCACAGCAGTGAGCACCCCAGCTGTATGCTGTGAGTGGCTAGTAATGCTACAAGGGCTTATCAACGCCCCTGAAACGTTCAACAGATGTGTGACCAATCTGTCGAGACCGGTGCGAGACTTCGAATCGAGTTACTTTGACACTATATCCGTCCATAATCGGGCTATGGGTGGACAGACGGGTGTCGAAGTCCACCGACTCCAAGTCCTAAAGGTTTGTACACTTATACGCAATTATAAGTTGTACGCTAACCTCAAGAAGTGTAAATCTGCTGCTAGCGCAACATCACTTCTTGGAAACATCATGGTAAACATGGCGTACGCTCTGATCCAAAAAATAACAAGGCGAAGACAAATGGCTTGTGCCAGTCGACATTCATAGACGCATATGCTCCTTGGTCCAACAGCATTCTTGCAGAAGTACCCGCCCTATTTCACCGAGACAACTTCTCATCTGCAAAACTTTAGGACTTGGAGTCGGTGGACTTCGACACCCGTCTGTCCACCCATAGCCCGATTATGGACGGATATATTGTCAAAGTAACTCGATTCGAAGTCTCGCACCGGTCTCGACAGATTGGTCACACATCTGTTGAACGTTTCAGGGGCGTTGATAAGCCCTTGTAGCATTACTAGCCACTCACAGCATACAGCTGGGGTGCTCACTGCTGTGAAAGAGACATCCTATTCACGCATTAAGATCTAATAGAAGCCGTCCATCAGATCCATGAACGAGAACACGGTACTCTTTGACATACAATCAATGATTACTTTCTTCCTCGTCATCGGTGTCTGAGTTGGTACCGTTGCAGCATTCAACTTGTCAAATGCGTGCACTATCCGCCATCCTCCGGTGGACTTTCGCACACAGACTGACGAAGATATGTTAGGGAAAGTTGATTCCCTCACATGGCTCGCTGCAAAACGATCGGAAAAGAACTTCTCGATCGCTAGTACTTGATAACGAGGGAGTGGCCACTGCTTCATGAAGTAGTACTTCGAGCCCGGTTTGAGCTCATTTCATATCGAGTGCCTTTATCCTTAGGCAACTCGCATGGTACGGATTTAGGGAAAACGTCCTCGGATTCGATCAAATC